AAAACAAACACTCAAAACACAAAACTCAAAATGAATTCAAAACTCAAAACACAAAACTGAAACACAAAGAGAACACCCCTTAAGTAATTCTCCTGTCCGTATATAAATTCGTGTTTTTCTTTATTTTTTTGGGGAGGTCTTATCACATGGTTTGTAATTCTATTTGTATCTGTGCCTAAATCATTCATTGCTAGTAAGTCTTTCAACAAGTAGACATGTGACTAAACCTTGTCCTATAATGACCTTTTAGTAGACAAACTGCCAAGTTAATAGGTTAAATAACTAACAGAACTTCATTGGAGAATCAATTTGAAATTCTAAAATCTATCACTGCAGTGAACTGTGATTAATTTCATTCTCAGAATCAATTACGTATGAAGAAGAAATATGGGCATTACCCATGCATGGTGGATATGTTCAACTTTTAGCTCAGTTAGTTATACCAGTTACCACCAACCCTTCGAATCTGCTTCTTATCACTTCTCGTCCAAAAGCTCTAGAATGAAGCTCATAAGCCCGAAAAGCAAAAATCTAAATCTATCATATGCCTTAAAAATCAAACTTGTTAATGTGGGATAAAGTGCCGGCGTTTTATCTTCATGACAATCCATGATCAAAATTTTGTTTCTTTGTTTTCTTTATCTACAGGTGTTTGAATACTTCGCGTCTTTCAAAAGCCCTTCAGGAGAAATGTATATGACACCAGCAGACTTAATGAGAGCAGCTGTTCCTGTATTTCCTCCTTCAGAAGCAGATAGTGTTAGAGGGGGACATTTGAAAGGGGAATGGGTTACTAGTGAGTTACAGTGTGCTACTTCACAATTCTTCATGCTTTTTGATACCAATAATGATGGACTTATATCATTCCCAGAGTTAGTATCTCTCTCAGAATTTTCATTCACTTTTGTCAGTTATTGAATTTATTAAGTAATCGGTTATATGTTTTCGTTGTTACAGGTACATCTTTTTCCTTACCATACTGAGCATACCTGAGTCGAGCTTTTCTGTTGCATTTAAAATGTTCGATCTTGATAATGATGGGTAAGTGGGTATATCTAACTTGGAGCTGACTTATATTGAACTCCAAACATCACAGGAGCTCATCTTTCTTCCTATCAAAGAGTTTTTATTTGCTTACAGAGGTATAGACAAGGATGAATTCAAGAAAGTGATGGGGCTGATGCGTACATTTAATAGACAAGGGGCTTGTCATAGAGATGGACTCAGGATCGGATTAAAAGTTTCAGGATCTGTGGAGGATGGTGGTCTTCTAGAGTACTTCTTTGGCAGTGATGGAAGCAAACGCCTTGAACGTGAAAAATTTGTCCAATTC